GCTTTCACAGCTGGGAGTATAAAAGAGCTGTCAGAGCGCAAGTTCTTGTTCTTGTTATGGTTGACGTTTAGAATAAACCCGTTGCATCAACACAGGTCTCCTCATTACTTCAGACGCTAAGTATATTTTACCTGGCGACGAAGGTGGGATCCTGAGGAAAAGGTCCCTCTTAATTAATAGCGTCAGTAATGTAATTCTTAAATTAATTGAATTTACTTTATTATGCCTGATAGAGAATCTTAGGAATCATTTATTGAGAGGTTCGAATGTTTCCTGTTCTCAAATGACTTTAAAGATATCTCAGATGAAAGAAGACGGGGGTATTTCCTTAATTCTTGCGGACCTGAGATGTTTGCTACTGCTCGAGCTCTAGCCGTACCAGCCAAAGTTTTTACGGTTCAGTGGGACACTCTCATAGCAAAGTTAAAGGGCCATTATGCTCCAAAACCGTCCCGTTACACTATGCGGTATGCTTTCCACCAGTGTTTACAAGGGGAAACAGAGACTGTGAGCCAATATATGGCCGCTTTAAGAAACGCGGCTATCCATTGTGAATTCCCCGATCTGGATGACGCTGTGTTAGAACAACTAATTTGCGGCGTAAAAGATTGCCGATTACAACGGCGATTGCAGCTAGATCTGACTTAAACCTATCTATAGCCATGGATGAAGCCAGAGCAGCCGAACAGTCAAATCGATCGGCTGATGAGATCAAAAGATTTCAATCCCTACATAAACCCGTTAGGGCCTCTTCTGTGGTAAATCAACAAGAGGCGGAAGGGGAGGAAGACCTCTGGCTACCCAAAGAAGTGAGCCATTTAAACATTAGTGCCGCTAGAAGGAGAAGAACTCCCAAAGAATTGCCTCAGGCAGGTTGTCTCAGTTGCGGAGGCAATCATTTATGCTCCACATGCAGATTTAAAACAGCTGTGTGCAGATATTGTGGCAAAATGGGGCACCTGGCCTACGTGTGTAGGGCGACCCAGCCCTCATCTGATACTGCCGCTAAGCACTTCAATCGTCCTAGTGGCTGAACTGTCAATTGCCGGACATTCCGAAGCACCGATGACTGCTATGCCGTGGAGCCAGAAAGAGAAGAAGATGAAGCTATCAACACAGCATCGGCAGCTACCGGTAGTCGAAAGAAGAAATACATCACTGTCCTTATAGAAGGGGCCCCGTGCGAGATGGAGATTGACACTGGTTCCGCGAAATCCATCATCGCATGGGAGACCCTTAAACGATTGATACCGAGGTTCCAGGAAGGTCGATTGGAAAGCTGCCATTGCATTTTAAAAGACTATCCTCTTAAAGGAAGTGGAATTTTTTTTGTAGAACACAGCCAATTTAAAGGACAACTACCTTTGGTCATAGTGGCCAAACCTTTGGCCACTTTATTAGGACAGTTCACCTGCAAGTTCCAGACGGTCAGAGACGGCATGATCTGGCGTAGAGCGAGATGATACCATGCCTTCCAGCGGAGAGGGGCCAGATCAACATCAGCCTCCAGAGACGACAGACCCTAGGCGGTCAGAAAGAACACGCCGCAGACCCGCCTACCTTAAGGACTATGTATGCACTAACTGGGAAGGAGGAGTGTTACATCCTGACGTGTCCCGCCCTCTTTCCGTCAATCAGGCATGGCATTAGCTGATTGGACTATTTATGGTTGCATTCAGGTGGGAGAATTGGCACGTTCTTATTGGTTAACGCTCAGTTCTTGTTCTTGTTATGGTTGACGTTCAGAATAAACCTGTTGTATCAACACAGGTCTCCTCATTATTTCAGACGCTAAGTATATTTGAATTGTAATATTATGGTGCAGGCCAAATAGCTTTATCACAGCTTTGAAACTCTTACCCTGTTACAAATAAAGAAAAATATCGAACTAGGTCACAGAATCTTTGAATGTACATTGCTATCCTCCCTTGAAAGCTCTCACAATGTCCTGTGACAAGATAGAAACAGAAAGATAGGGGATTTCTGTGCAACATGAAAATATCAAGGTATGACAAGTATGCTTTTGTGTCTGTCCCCTAGAGTCAGGAACAACTAGCACATATGTGCAAGAGGAATCTTTACCTTTATTCATGTTAACCTACCTATTTAATGCAACCTAATTTCCTATAATATTT